GATAAAACAGACCTGAGTACTACTCGAAAAATCCAACAGCTAGGATCAGATTCCACTGAAACTCAGCTTATTCTTTCCCTAACGCAATTGTAATACCAGCTTTCTGCTCCTCGAAAATTCAGTTCCTCCCCACCAAGAACTTCCACTAGATGGACCGAAGTCAATTGGGATTGCCTGATCATGGTAGACCCAGAGACTTTTGAATCATAATTCAGACTGAACATCTCTTCAACTTCTTTTTCCACAGCTAATGCGCATCACGGTCAACGCAGACCATTGAATGACCGTTTCCGTGGGGCATTATGCGAAAGGCACTAATTGCTCTCATCAATGGCTGACGCATTACTGTAATGGTCGTGATGACGCTAATGTACACCACAGCAGTCACGCCAGACACTACGGCTCAGATTCATCCATTGTAGGTCACAATCAAATGTAAATTGCCAGGTTATCCACCACTATATGGATGTCAAAAGCAAAGCAGGGACGAAGAATGCTCAGTACAGGACGGGATCGCGCAGTTCTCAAAAGTAGTGAAGTAATAAATCACGATACGTCATTCTCTCAAATTGAACTCACTAGGGGCTCTGGCACGTTACATCTAGCGGCAGTCTAACGTATCAGGGAAGCTCTTATGGGCAACAGTTCAACTCTTCAATAAGTTTGGAACCACCACAGATGGAAAATTCGGGGACTCGAAAGTTACAGTTACCACCAGGACAATTATCAGATGCAGAAACTAGCTCTCCCCTTGTCGACTTTCGTACACCCAAAATGAAAAAATTGATGTGAAAACCCAGCCAGACACTAACACTGAAGACCACATCTATCGTGGATTGAAAGCCACTCAAGTAGTGTGGTCGGGGGGGGGGGCTTTTCACAGTAGAGAGCACTTAAACATTAAACAAAAATTCTGCAAAAAGCGCTTTCTCAAGTCAGATATCCTGTATGGAACACCCTGGAGAAAGCGCAAATGAAAACCCCAAAAACAATGGCACCTTAAAGAAGACAAAGCAGAGAGCCTGGGAATATTGGGTTGATCCATAATTCCTGGCCGAATTTTTTCAGAATCAATTTTCTTCATGTCAAATTAGTGTCATTACGAAATAAGTTAGTATGTTGAAGGAGGCATCAGTACCTTAAACTAGGATGTTCCAGAAGGTCAAAGGGCAGTGGAATAAGTAAGTAGGGATCGAAATGGATCAACGACCAAAGCAGGCGATTATGCTTAACGATCATTTAAAGAAGAACCTTGCAAGGAGTGCAGTAGGCAAGACCAGCGCTGTGTTTGCCTCAGTCTTTGCTACTGATCAGGGCACTGGGCTATTGGCTTGAAAGCATCGGCGAAGGCGATACAAGCCCTGACAAAAGTTTGACCTGGGTCAATCCTGGGGTCCCCGAGTCACTTTAAAGTGGATTTCCCGTTTTGCGCTGTGGAAAATCGGGAGTTTTCAAACCGGGAGCGCGCAGCCACTTGTAGATTTAGCAGCAGATACCAGCCGATGCACCCACCGCAGCGATTGTATGAAGTGAAAAACGCGGTTTGTATTGGGTCTTCAGGAATTTAAAGTGTTTCGATGGAACGGCATGCGTGGATCACTGACCATGGGTATCGAGAAAGGCAGGACCTGGACCATCTTGGGTCAGAAATGTTCATTCTTGCGGCCAGAGGGAAATGATCTGAGACTTTGGCCCTAGGCAGGAGAATCACCCACAGCTGGAGAGTATGAAGAGCTCAGAGATCACCACAGGACGTATGAAGCGAGACAAAGGCATGCAGAGCAGGGCACAGCCTAGACTGGCCTAATCAACGGAATAAGCCCAATGAACCAAACACATTCATCAAAACCCAAAAACCTGACCCTCATACTAAGTCAAGAGACAATAACAATATCGAACGAATCAATATTGATTGTTTGGGACTGGTCGGGTAATCCACTGGAGAACTGCTTTCATCTTAGTATTAGAGACAGAGACCCACTTGCGAAGGACTGAACCGTGGCGAATAGAACTCCTGGAAGCTTTGTGGTCGAGCAGGCAGTGGCCGATTTGAAGAAAGCCATTCACGAAACGTCTCAAAATCTTTCCCCTTCGGGAATTGAACGCCCGACCTTTACAAATGCGAAGGATACAACTCGGCACTTCTGAAGGGAAAAACTTTAGGATTTTTCGCGACATACCCACTCTATTACGTATAGCCCTAAACATTACTTCATCGCACTATCCCCTTCTCGATGCCCTGAAGCAGTACCTTCGAGAGAAAGGGGTCACTGAATACAACCACCCAAAAAACGACCTCTCCGAACTCTTCATCCCATAGCTCCACTCGTTTTGAGAGGAATGCATCCATTCGCTGCCTAGCAAATGAATGCATATCAGCGATTGCGACGGTGGTTATATTGTTGATCAGTTATTCTCCAGGAAAGAAAAAACTCAATGAAATGAAAGTGTCGAAATTCGGCCAGAAATTATGGATCAGCCCAATATTTTGACACGCCTTAGTTGCGTGCCACCGCCTGCGCCATGCTCTTCACCCGAAGGCCCGTGCTTCACCCGAAGGCCCGTGCTAATGCAGTGGGTGACAGATTTTCAACATAACATGGTGCTACGCTGCGGTATAAGTGACAAACACTTTCCTGAAGTTGGTTTGTTCCATCAAGGTAATACGCATATTTTTAACTAAATACTGTCTTTGTCCCCATGATTTTGGTTTACCCTGTACAAGACAATGTATGAATGAAACTTCTTTTGAATTTAATAATTAATATTGAACGTTGAAATCAGGATGTTACCAAACAACGCTAGAAAAAAGAAAAGCTGTGAAATAAGCAAGCGCCCGCAAAAACCGTAGCGAAATAACGAAGAGACGGAGGTCAGCGACTATCTTAAAAGCCAGCAGATGCTCCAGTCATGGTTTTTGTGCGCAGTTCGGTTACAAGTTTGATTTCCAATAAATGGCCTCGATCGAAACATTTGAATAATCTAGCTCAATTCGCGCGAATTCTTCCGCCGCACCATTCCACTGCACTTAGCTATGACGCCATTACCACCCCTAAAGTGCATTTAGGCAGTTATGAGATCTTCTCCAGGCATTCAATCCATTTGTGAATGATTTTTAATTTTCAAAGCCATTTCCCTACTTTGATTGGAGAAGACTTTTCGAACTCATTACGTTATCACGTTACTCAACGAGTCAAGAAAAAAAACTTCCAGTTTCTTGAATGATTTCTACCGAAATTATAATCATATAAAGAGGACGCGAAATCGTATTTGAGACCACACCAACGATCGCCCATTAACGGCGTTTTTCAGAGCTCCTATGACTAGTCAAGTTGATTGAAGGCGACAAATACGGTACGGCTAAGAGGGCAGGCGACCTCAGCGGAGGACATGAACAGCACGGTGGGGCCCGATTCCAACGGTTGGCACGCGAAACAATGAGGTAATAAAAGTGCGAGTTTCGATATAATCGCTGCTCGTCAATGTTGAAAGATACGCATCTCACACCAAGCAAGACAGCCTGTCAACGTTTCCCACTTGAGCGGACAAATTGAGACAAATAGCATGGAAGGGAAAGACCAGCTACTTGGAAAAAGCAAAGGATTGCGATTCTGAAACCACTGGCCGATGAAGGAATCTCTTCTTTAAAAGACATCGCGAAGATAGAAACCATAGCATGCAGTTGCCGTCACAGCGCCTGGAGTTTTCCCAGTGGAGGAAACGTGAAATAAGCGAAATTATGGAGTAAACGTCAGATGGCAGGGCGAGCAAAAGATGGTATTTTCAATTTCATCATTTCACAAGAACTCAGCCGCTCTGATCTGCCCCATTACGTGTAGCAGAATCCGCGCAATTCCTACAGACATCATAGCCATAACTAACGGTCGACGACGTATTCTCCTTATAAAACACCACAAAAGTTACGGTGAATTTGCCGTTTTCTAGCAGAAAAATACGTTAATAAAAGCAACAAATCGTGAACTAATCCAATATAACCTACCGTTGTTCAACGGAACTCCACGAAGGCTATAAAAGGAAAGAGAAAAGGTAAAAGATTTGCTTACACACATGAAAATCCCCACTAAAGAAGCCGAAAAGAATACGAAAAAAGGCTGAGACGACCCAACGAAATTTCTCCAGAGAAGGAAAACTCTGGTTTTAGACGCTGCAGAGAGAGAACTGAATGGACATCCACTTATTTACAACTCTTATTTCTGTGGCATGATAGGTAAGTTGATCAAGTTCCCACACTACTGCTCAAATTAGAAAATGGTGAGGGTGTAGAAATAATCTAAAACAGATGTTCTTATAGGTTGCTGGCAAATAAATGTCGATTTCGGACCTGTCGAAACAGCAGCAGTTCAGCCATTAAAACAAGAGATGAATCCTCCCCTACTTAACATGATTTGCCAATTGATGCGGGCTTTGCTCAACTGACCTCACTACGATTCCTTGAACCTTTTCTCGAAAGAAACGTAGTCGAAATTTTACAGTCTCAGGATCACTCCCCCTTCACAATGCGTTGTGCTGAGTGGGATAAGCAGCGCTCAGATGGAAGGGGATAGGAGCCGTTCAGCGCAGAACTCAAAAGTATTCAGTCTCGCACTTCTTTGCTAGGCGATTTGTCGTGATATGCAGCTTGGCGGTGGTGTAGCCAGGTTACATAAATGTTTTGTTCATTCCTCGACGACGCAGGCATGGTTTGAAGGAGTTCGCTTTTGATTTGCGAAGGCCTGCCGTAACCTTGCACACTAAATTCAGCCCCCCCACGGTGTAGATACTCAGGGGGAGGTGCAAAAAAAGCCATTTTCACCCAAATCGGCCTTTTTTCTTCGCAGAGATTGCCGTCGTTGACGGAAGTTCCTCAGCAAAATATTCCCTAAGTGTCCCTCTATAAGTGTACGCAGGCTCTCCTTCACTGCCCTCACCGTCTTCAGAATATGACGTCATCTGTCACCGTCGTCAGGCTCAAGGAGGTCTACCGTAAGAGCTTCAGCCTGAAGCTCTTACGCAATTTCGTGAATCGATTTAATGTTGGATAGTTTCTCTAGAGAGATGAAACCTGAATATACAAACTCCCTTGAAACCTGAATCTCTAAAACGTAATGGTACACAATGCGTCGAGGACCCCTTTGACTCGACATAGATCCGCCAGCACCATTTCAGAAGCAAACTTCTGATGCCGTCCCAGGGTAGAAGCCACTATGAGACTTTTTTTTAGCAAATGGCATTGCCTTTCACTTCCCTTTAAAAGCATTGAGAACTTGAATGTAGCAAACATGGTGATTACATCCATTCACATGGTACGATTAAAGACGCTCTTTTTTAATTGCCCCTCCCCCCTGTACATCCTACGCACTCGGAATTTAGACTTGGGATGGTCAATCGGTCAAAAGACAATTTCAAGTCAAGAAGTAGTAGAAAAGATCACTCATACATGTTCCAACCGAACTTGGGTGGTATGTAAATGACCTACCATGATATAAAATCTCACAAATAAAGAATGTTACGCCTACCTGATGACTCTGCTCACCATGTCGCTCTTGCCTAGACAACGACTTCAAAAACTCCATCGAGGTCGAATATTGGGTAGAGCTCAACAGGGTGTTGCACGTCTTTTTTTTTTGGAAAAGGAGCATCTTAGATAGGATTTGCATTGCTTTCAGAACAAATAGGAATAAAATTTCACAAATGAAAATTCTAATGAGTGATAGGTAGGTCATTGAGTAAGCACGAAGGAAAGAGCGAAGTATGTGATGATTTCCTCAAAAAAAAAAGCACATGTTGATCCCGAAATGTTGCTCGACGCGGTGCTTGAAGCCGACTGGTGGGTTACATGAACTTCTCTGTAACAGGGCACCACAGCCAGATGGTGACGATGACTGAGCGGCGGTACGAATGTGCTTTTGTGGGAAACGCGCAAACCACTGAATACGGTACTTTTCACAGCTAACGCCAAGCGCTTTTTATAAATAAAAAAGGCATAACCCAGGATCAGTTCAGGTGGATGATTTTTTCATGTTCAGGTAAGGCTGTTCACGTAGGTCGCAGATTCAGATCCAAGGCACCAGGGGCTTGTGAAGACCACTTCAACCCCTCTGATGTTCTCAATACGCAGCATGCTTGCGTCTTGTGCTCTTTCACCTGCCGTGCTCTATTGAATAATCACTCTTCTCCGTGCTCAATCTCTCATTGCCTTGGCACAGTCGAGCCGAACAATTACCACACCCCTTAACTTTACGGTTTTCGTCGGACTCTTCCTCTTTTACTGCCGGACTACGCACCAATGATTCTAGTTTCGTGTGCAAGATTCAACCAGAATGATCTTGGGCCGTACCTCTAATAAGAATTTTCACACCGTCTCCTGCAGCTTATCAATGGGGAGCTGATGTTTACCTCTATCAACCTCAACTGCATTGTAATGGATCATTTTTGACCTATATTTGTTCCCACAAATAATGATGTTACACTAAACCGTCCGTGCTGATTGTTTAGTTACAAGAAATCCCCTTGGCTGGTTTTCTGAAAGGAAGCTTATTAGAAAGGCTAGTCCGAGTTTAGTCCGTTTCAACGAGCGTAGGCGGCGCAGTAGCAGAAGGGTTTTACTACTGTTGGCATTGTCGGTGAAACGTAGTGCACGATAAGAAATCCGATCAATCCTTAGGAACAACTACACGTCCATAGCTTACACTAAATAAAGGCCGAAAAGCGACAAGTCAAAAGTTTTCGCTCTAGGAAAACTACTTCAACATAGAAACGTACCGCTGCTCGGCGCAGGATCAACCTCGGCGGCCCATTTGTCTATGTCACTTTCATCAACCAACTCCGAAGACTGACTCCGTCCAGGCACAATGCTAAATTCAGAGTCAAAACTTCAAATAACAATTTGTTTTATAAAAATGAAGGGGTATCACATTTGAAAAGAAGTGGCCATGTTGGAGACGGTCACATACCTATTCGCGAGGTGCTCTCAGTTTCTCCTCTTCGCTGAGCTCCTCAGCATCAGACGCCACACTAACTACACTTGCCTCCTCGTGTCTCGAACCGAACACGTTCGGAACAAAACGACGTCTTCGGCGACTGTCATCCTCCCAGACATCCAAGCGCCAGAACAATTGCCTGGAACAAGTAAAATAGAAACGCAAACTTGAAAAAAAAACACCAGCCAACTATCTACCCACGCAGTTTCGTCTCCTGCACTCCAGGCTCCACTGGGACTACACAGTACGGTCATCATATTTCCCAGCAACTTTGCAGCAAGGCGACCATCTCTTCGTCGTCCATTTCGGATGGCTTGCGCCCAACGTGCTTCCTCATCGCGCCGCACGTCGAGATTCGCCATCGTTTCACTCTTTAAATGAGCGCAAAGCGTTCTTACGTACAATGTGTATGGAAACGTTGAAAATTTCTTGTGCCAATCAAAGTCGAGAGGAAAGAAAAAAACGACAGCACACCTCGAAATGTGCATGCTTGCTGACGTCCTCAGCACGAAGACGATTTAGAATGAAGTCTGCCTCGTTCGAGACGCGAAGAACGTGATCCCGAGTAGCGTGAGCCATAAGGCGCCCTTAATACTTCATATTTTATCAATGTCGTCATGAAAATTTGAATTATTCTACAAAAGAAGATAGCATGGCTCTGGCGCAAAAAAACATTTGGAATCAGCCACACAAATTTCAGATTACAGCAAAAAAAGATAGGTACTAAAGATTAGACATTAGAGGAGAAATCATTTGAGAATGTGCCCTACGATGTTTTTCACCTCATTCTACCAAACTTCTGAGTTACCAAAGAATTGAAAGCACAAGAAAATATACTAAACGTCGGCAAAAGAACCGCTGTTACAAAACCTGCCCAGACAAGGACTAGCCCCTAATTTTGACATGAACAATTAAGAGACTGACCTTCGTTGACTAATTCAATAAAGGCAAGTCCAGCATGTTTTTGAAGAGAAGTCTGCCATTCCTGTGAGCAGAGCAACATAACAAGCTCGATGACAGAGCCTTGTTTATTTTTCAGAGTCTCCAGTACTGAAAAATTACAATTTCCCATAAGTCAGGCAAACACCGCAACAAGTACAAAATCCAGTACCCTTGCTATCGTTCATTATCTCTTGACCATGTGTACCAAGCAGCGTTTTTTGGAAAAACGACCGGAAATCACTCATAATTTCCCTCAATAGTGGAAGTCGTGGTCTACATAACGCGTTTGACGTTTGCTGTTAAATACTGTCTTCGCTCAGCCGGCTGTTGAGAAGGAGCAGTGGTGGTGGAGCCACCCAGCTTTGACAGTTCTTCGGCCTAAAATTATTTTAATGAATACAGATAGTTTTACATTATACCGATGAAACAGAGACCTACCTTATAGTCTTTCCCATCTTTTTTCATGGTTCCCGGTGCTACCATAATGGCTGAGATGCCTTCTTTGCCCTCTTTACACTCGTCTTCACTCGCAGCTTCACCGTTCGTCGTTGACTTCTCTGGGGTAGGAGGTTTCGCAAGGTCTGATCCACCAGCAGTGGAAGACCCAGGCGTGCTACATTCTTCTGGAAAAATTAACCGTCTTTGGACAGTCTTTCACTATTAAAATCCATCCAAATCGAAAAAAGGGACCGTAGACCCGCACCCACCGTGTCGCAGAATTGAAGAAAGGACTCGGACTAGCCGGCGGCTCTAAAATGTCCCTGTATCGGGACACCATGAGTACCGAAAGAAGGTAAACTACGGCCAAGGCGAGGAATTGAGCTTGACGATTCTCTTCCTAAAAACACCATTGTGCGATGGCGAATGTCTCTAGCCAATAAGAGCTTCTCGCTTGCTTGCTAACCACTACTGAGCAAGTAGAATGACTAGCATGATTTACGGCCTGTAAGCCTGGCTAGTGTACTACTCCCTTGGCTTATACATCGTAAAAAATTTTTGGTGAGTGATACTAGATTCACTATCACTGATGGTTCTGACCTGATTACCTTATTTTGACGATGAAATCATTTCTTTTTGATTCTTAACATTTCCCTTCAGGTCATTTTGTGTGAGAAAAAATCGTTTCCCATCCCCAAAAAAAAACGGGACCATTTTTTGAATTGGATATTTTCCAAAGCATTAGAGTGAATTTGAAGAAAGCTATGATCGCTCGAGAAGTATGTATTGTACAACAATTGCATGTACACGAAAACCGCTAACATACTATTTCCTTGATCGGATGAGCTTTCTGAAACCTTTTTTGAAAATGTCCACAGGACATGCTTCTGAACCACGACTGGGATAAAAAAAAACCTAAGCAAATGAGAACAAATAATTTAAAGATTTATGTGTTGGCTATTCTCGAGCTTCCCTGTCATCAATTAGGGTACATTGCCGATGTTCCTTCCCCTTTTTGCATACATTTTGCTAGAAGAAGGGAAAAGTTGAAAAAGGGAACAATTGCGACCTCACTTACGCACTAATCGTAAGATATGGTGATTTTCGAAATGGTGCAATTTCTTCTTTGAAAACTTAATCCTATGACTTGAATGTTCGCAACATTGACGTCGTTTGCTTCTTTATAAGAAACGTATTTGCATTGAATACCATAATAAAATAGACCCGCAAAGAGAGAACTTCCGTCGAAGTGAATTAGTTTTGGAATTATTCTATTGATCACCTACCACCATGTCTCGGTAAACCGCACCCTTGATGCGCTGCAAATCAACGTCTTGCAAGAGGCGATCTAAGTCCACGATTCCTTCTTTTCCTTGCTAAACGAGGTAAGATAACACGAGCTCCTACAATCCTTGGCTTCTTTAGTTGTTTGCTCGTGGCTACACTTACCGACTCAATGGCTCCTTTAACAAACTCGTAGATAGCCTCATTTTTCGTGCTTGCATGAGCCTCAAACGCGTGACCGTTGCTATCAGGTCGGAGGACACGGGCGGTAAGAATGTGTCGAACTGCGGCCGTCGAGATTAAGCGTAGCACTTGACGTAAGACACCTCCAGAAGGCATATTCTTCTCCTTAAAATGAATAATCAGTACAATACCAAAAAATTGCTGTAAAAATGTACCTGTTCTAATTCAGCAAACGAAACGCCGCTAGCAAAAACGAAGACGTCAACCAGCTGTACGAACCGCGACAACAGCGATGCAGCACAATCAATTGGGAGTTCCTGCTGACAAGCGTCAGTGATCTCCAACTCACTCTAAAGTTGAAAAAAAAACCAGAGTGAGACATAGGATCCAAAAAGAAATGAAATCTGGCCCAAGCAGCATACATTGGGTGAAGTCGCCGAAGCCAAAAGCGGGAGCAGTCCACCACAAGCCATAATGAGACTGTCGGCCAGTTGCGAAATGACGTGCACGGTATTTCCAACAAAAATCTAAAAAAAAATTGATTGATCACTTCTCTGTCCGTCTAAGATCAAATGTGACTGCATGAGCTCATTATACACTGCTAAATCTGTTTAGAACAAATGCAGACCTGATTGTCATTCGTGTTGCAAAGATCTGTAACGGACGGCGATTCCGATCTGAAGGAATCAAGATAAACAAATATCGATAGTGGCATCGAAAAAAGAAGAACGGAACAAAATCAGGTTAATAGACTCACAACTTCCACTCTTCAACTACAGCTTCAATTCCAGTCAAAAGATCGCCAAGTAGTCGAAGATGAACAGATGACCAACAAAACTCAGGTGTTCGATAAATGGGAGTTGGCATCTCATCCGGAGTTGACGAAGACCTCAAAAAGAAAACACACTAACTCAGCTATCTCCTTGCCAACAATTTATAACACTCAAGGGTGTCGTAATGAGGCATTAAATGATAATCCTTCTATTTTATAAAGCGCTAACTTTGTGTGTCGGTTTGTGTATCTGTATGTGTGTGTGTGTGTGTGTGTGTGTATGTATGTGTGTCCGTCCGCAAAATGAAGTGAGTGAGAAGGAAGCTCATGGGATAAACAAACCGCTAACAAATCGGGTAGCTTACAGGATTTGAGATATCAATGTTTTGTAGCAGGATAGTTGTGATAACACTCTTAGGGCTATATAAACACCTGCTTAGCACACTTCCGTTCATTCCACATGGTGCTGCAGTGGCAGCTGGAGGGCAGTGGAGAGAGGAAGGGAGGATGAGGAAGGGAAGCGAAAAATCTACCGTCATATCATGATTGTGTCCCTTCTACTGTTTGAAACACCATTGTGTTGCATACGCGTCACTTCCAGGAGGTGTTGGTGTCACAGGAGGAAGGGACCATAGCGGAGGATAGAAAGCTTGCGCAGGAAAGGAAGGTCCCGGCGGTTGACGGGGGACTAATCTGGTAATAATAAGAAGCAAAAAGTCTGCGCGCAAATACTCAAGGCAGAAGTTTGAAAATCTTGAAGCAATGGAAGTGTAGTTTCAAAGCGTTTTCACAACTTTCCGCAAAAACGTAAAGAAAAGTTCGAACGGCAAAGGAACGGAGAGATTGCCACTGACACTCACTGCCAGTGAGCACCGGAGCAAGTAAGTGTGGGTTACTGATAAAAATCATTTTATACAGGGTGCGCCATATCTATTGATAACCAGGAAATCATCCCACGGAACAAAATTTGAGATGAAAAAAATGCGAGACTCTACAAGCATTCAAACAGCATTATAGCATCAGAAAGGCTAAAAGGAATTCAGATGCTGTTGCCTCCACCATGAATTAAACTAATGCGAGCATGAGTTCGCTGACGCTGAGAGGTATATCTGAGCATCTGAGACTCTCTCAGGGTTCTATAGATGATTTTCAGTCCAGGCTTTCTTCATTAACCTCTTAGGAATTCCGTTTTGATGCATTCTAAACTTCCTTGATCAAATTTACGGATTCACTGGCGATGATGTCTTTCAATGGAACCCAAAGATGATGGTTTCAGGGTTCTATAGATGATTTTCAGTCCAGGCTTTCTTCATTAGCCTCTTAGGAGTTCCGTTTTGATGCATTCTAAACTTCCTTGATCAAATTTACGGATTCACTGGCGATGATGTCTTTCAATGAAACCCAAAGACAACTCAAAAGCACTTCCAGTGCATACTAGTCTTGAGCCTTCTTTCCGTATTCTAGGAGGGCTGCTTGTCAAGAGCAGTAACTTCTTGGGATACCCCTGACATAGTCCTCTTGAATGATTGTGGTGTCCGACGAAAATGAGCACTATTTGCCAATTATCAGAAATTCAAGGCTCAATCATCGAAAGAGGAGGAAGAGTTGTCAGAAACAATCAAATCTCCTACACGAATTCAGAATTTAAGGCTGTTCTGAACGCTTATTAATTCTTTCACGTCGAACAACCCTGGAGAAAGCAACCTGCCACCTGCCGCCATTGGAAGACACCCTGAGCTTTTCGACTTACGATTCTCAGCGAAAGCTGCCAAATTCGGTAATCTTCTAACTATTATTTGCCCATTTGTACCGTTAATGTGCAGAGTCATCGTGTTCTGTTAGAACGCGGCTCTTCTGCCATAGACACTGTTTACCATCTTTGTGATGCACCCTGTATAGAGCAGAAACGTCGATTGTGTGCTGTGCAAGGAAACGCCTATTTCATCATTCTGAGGAAACATTTTTTATAGTCGTCAATAAATCTGACTTGAGAAAGTTTTGAAACAGAGAGAATAAGCAAGAACATACTGCGCGCCTTCATCTCCGCTTTCACGTTCCACAATATTCTCCTTTCGTGATAGTCGTAGAAGGCGGGCTTGCTGTCACGTCCTTCTGTTGTTGTCGACGGAATCGTTCCAAGCTCACCTATAAAAGTGCATTAAAATGATCAAACAGTTTGGAGCCCCCAAAAGCCATTACTACGTTTGTTTGCAATACAACAGATTCGCGAAGTGAAGTAATCGATTTTATTAACACAAATACTCAGTGCTGAATAACCTATTCTTAGGATGCGCCACGCGTCTTAGATCCACCCTCAATCGTAGTGAAATGTGAACACGACTTGGCCCATAGAATAGCTTGCGTGGGCAGACAGAATAGCTGCATGCGACTGGTACCAATTAAAGGTGATTACGATATAGGGAGCGTGTTGGAGAATACACACCACACGAAGGAGTTACTTGGCTGCCAAGAAAGCGAGGTTTCAACGACAAAAATTGCGCTAGTTACAGAACAGTTCTCGAAAAAGCGATCCCCGCGCTCCACCCACTAGTTTAGTTGGTGATTTGGACGAGCTGTGTTGCCAGCAGCGGCACAACTGGAGCAACTCGACTGGAGCATGGATTGGCATGGTGCCACCAAACGTTGGGATAACTCGTCCATACGTTACCGTCTTACAAACTATCCGTACTTCAGCGAAGATCAACAGCCAAACAAGGGGGAGTGAGTGGTCCGTTTAGCCTTTTCTTGATGGATCGCTCTGGTTTAACGCCACTGGCACACCATGGAATATCTCACCTCCTTTCTTAACCCAATAGCTGACGAAAAATCGGGAAGGCGAGGGGGGGGGGGGTAGATCATCCGAACTCTTCCATTTGTTCAAAAGCTATGTAAGGACATGGACACACAACCCCACCAGAGGGAACAGTTGTCCAACCGAATCACTGAGGCTAGGAACTACTCCATTTTGCTCACCAGATCAGCTCACAAGCCGAAAAAAAACCTCCTGCATAATGAAAAAGAAAATACCTTCGAATGAGCTATCGCCAGAGTATCAACCCAAACACGCCATCCACCATATTCATAACGAATAGCGTGATGAAGAAGAATGGCAAACATTTCATAAGACTAGCTCTGTGATTTCTAACTGAAATATAGGTATTCACTTTCAATTCAATCACAATCTTCTCGCAAGTCAGCAAAAGAAACTGCAAAATGGTCTAAATAGCAGTGTTTTACCTCCTCTTCTGACTTTGGAAAGACATATGAGATTGATATTAACCATTCCTGCCAAACAGACATTTGCAGAATAGTCCTGAAAGTGTTCTACATAGTGAACAAACTGCAAAAAGATGAGCATCTTTAGTTGGCAACTTAAAAAACAGTGCTCCAATGATTACAGCCACGATAACAGCGCCAAAGAAAAGGGATGCCTGCTTCCATCAACC